TTAGGGTCTTAGGGTTTAGGGTCTGGGGTGTAGGGTCTAGGGCTTAGGGTCTAGGGTCTAGGGTTTAGGGTCTAGGGTCTGGGGTCTAGTGTTTAGTGTTTAGGGTTTGGTCTAGGGTCTCTAGGGTTTAGGGTTTACGGTTTAGGGTCTTAGGGTCTTAGGGTCTTAGGGTCTAGGGTCTATGGTTTAGGGTTTAGGGGCTAGGGTTTAGGGTTTAGGGTTTAGGGGCTAGGGAAGTGTCGAAGTTGGGCCACCAAAGGCTGGCATCCTAGGGCCCTCCCCAGAGAGTCCAATAGCCCTTAAGTACTCTGCCTGAAACATAGTTTCCCAATACCCAACCTTTATTTTTTTGGGGTTCTTATAGTTTAGTAGTAACCGGAAAGTTTAACCTTCTGTTTCTGTGGCCTCTCGGGGAAAGTAAGTTTCAACCCCCAGCGATTCAACTTTGTGGGGCTCTTATGGGGCAGTCTTATTTCTTACTAGGTAGGTCTCTGGGACATGTTATATTTTCCCTTATTGGGCCTGGGAGGGTCTTATGTTTTTCAAAGGCTTGAAAAGTCTGTGATCCTAGAGCTTTAGTGGTATAGTAAGCAGCCTTAGCATCCTTCAACCTTCCCGTGGGGATAGCCCCGTAGTATGATCCCAAAAACTAAACTAACCGGCGCTTGTGGTGAACATAGGGGGCTTTACTATAATTCATAGTGTTCCTTGGGGTTCATTTTACGCTGCACTACAAAATACTCCCCGAGATCGGATGACGCAAGCTTGAGTGCTAAGGGTGCAAAGCACCACTCCCCGAGATCGGATGACGCAAGCTTGAGTGCTAAGGGTGCAAAGCACCACGGTTCCATGCACCCTTACAGTGTATAAAATAGGGGCCTAAAGTAGTATAACTACAGTATCATAGGCCACTACAGTATGGGGCCCAAAGCCCTATTCTAATTATCAAGGATCAAGGCCCCTACACTCCCTAAACCCTAGACCCTAAACCCTAAACCCTAAACCGTAAACCCTACTGAAGGAGGAGGAGACTGAGAGGCCAGGTGGGCACATGTACCCCGGAGAGCTCCCTGCTTATTGTAAGGCTCTCTTAAAGGGTTTAAGGTTCCTTTAAGGGTTCCTTTAAGGGTTCCTTTAAGGGTTCCTTACAGGGTCTGTTTAAGGGTTCTATGTTTAGGGATTCCTGAAAAGGAAGCAAACATCCGAAGAGTAAGTCTGACCATGCAGAAGTCGTGGGCAGCGACTGAGGCCAAAGCCGCGGACGGCAGAGAATAACCCGTTCCGTGGGTACAAGGCGCTTCGGCGTTAATATAGGGGCCTAAATAATTACCAATATTAAAGTGTAGGAATTCCTTAACATAAGTACAGTATAAAGGGCCCCAAAACCCTGTTCTAATTATTAAGGCCCCTATATTATTGCGCTTGGGGCGGGAGTGCCTTGGTCAGGCTTGCTGACTAAAGGGATGTTGTAAGGGGTGTTATAACAGCTACTGTCGTATGTCGCCAGTGGAGATATGATATTTTGCTGCCGTTCAGGAAGAACCGTCACCGAGAGCTTGTTTTGTCGCAGCACCTATTTGGTGATTCTGGTTGTGTTCGGCACTTCTGTCGATATCATCTCTTTTGCTTTTGGGTTTAAGTGCTTCAGCAGGGTCCTACTGACGATATAAATCCTGCATTACCTTAAGGACCCTAAGCTATGGGAATTATGGTATATTCCGTATTATCGGCAATGCAGGGTTTATATCATCAACCGTAGGTTGTGCATGTTAGTTGTTGGCACAGGGTGAAGAAGAAGAAGAAGGGTCCTGGTGTCGGCCCTATGACGGATTGCTGCAGCCTTCAGTATCAAAGAAAGATGGGAGCTTCCGAAGATGAGGGTTTCTTAGTTCGGGGTCCTGATAGTACGAATCCCGCTATTTAGGGTGCTAGATTAGGGTCCCCTAAATTTTCGGAAACCCCCGGATGGGTTCCCCCTGATGCCCTCAGCCCTCTGGGCTGTCATGGACACCTGGCGAGATGAAGAATCTGAGGAACTGAGCCTTCGAAGTGTGGGCTCAGGAAAGCTCGTAGATCGCTTTGGCAGAGCCTGGCAGCAAGCAGCCTGGGACGATGACTTGAGAGCCATGAAGGAAGAAGATGTGTTTTGGCGACCAAACTTTTTTCCAGCCCAAGTCTTCTTTCGTGTGGGTGCGCCTTCTGCGCCGTCCACCATCCCTTTTCGGTCGAAGCAAAGCGTTGATCTGAAAGTTGATCCTCTCCACTCCCGCCGTCGCCTCGCAGCCTGTCATCTTCTTGTCGGAGACTTTCTGAAAGTAATCCTCGGAATCAACATGCCACAAGATGCACTTCTTGCTATCTGTGCTTTGCTCCCTCTTAGAGAGCGTCGGGCTTTCAGCTGTTTGGCCCGCCAGTTCCGCTTGGCAACCACGCTCACTTGGAGTGACGACCCTGCGGAGAACGACACGACCCTCTTGAACATCATGCGGAAAGATCAGCCGGAGTTTCTGTCCAGAGCTATCAAGGATTCCGGCACCAGCAAAGATTCTCTTGGAAGGATTCTCGTGCATGCGACCGATGGAGGCAGAGTCTACCGTCGCCACCGATGCTGCAGACTTCTGGGTGAGATGGGTGCAGAAGTTCGTCTTGAAGATGCCGTCAGGGTGACAGGTGGACTGCTCGGCTATCACGATAGTGTGTATGTTCGGAAGCTCGGGAAGAGCGAACTTGACTATATCGGCATCGATAGCCTTTTGGCCTTAGAGGAGCCCTCCGAGAACTTGTTTCGCCTGATTGAGCAAGGTTTCAAGATCAGCCCAGACAGAGCCAGGAAGGATAAAATCTGGTGCCATTGGGACGATGGAGGCTTCAATTTGGCCCATGTTGCATTCTCGGCCAGCACCGTACCGCCTTCTGACGGATGGCATGCAGAAACAGACTCACCACGTGTGATCCCTACCATACGTATCCAGCCGCTGCGTCTCGAAGACTTGCTGTATTCCGGCCCGCCGAGTAGTGGCGCAATTCTGGACAGAAGGGAGGTTCGCATCTCATTCAACAGGCCGCTTCATTGGATCCCCGCAGGTGACCGGCCCGAAGCATCTAGACGCTAAAAGACTTTGCATCAGCAGGGAGGCAAGGGGCCTTAAACCTTAAATCCTGGAACCCCACATTCAACTCCCAAAGCCTACTTTGCTGGTGGAGTCTGGACTTCTACATAAAAGGTGTATTTATGAATAATATAGAGGCCTTAATAATTAGAATAGGGTTTGGGGGGGTCCACTATACGATAATTATATAAGGAACCCCCAAAACCCTATTCTAATCATGCAGCTCCCCCCATTGACTACAGTAGGCTTTTCTTGCTATTGTAACGCATGTATGACAAAGAGACAAGAAGTAGAGACCACATAGCAGACATGCGGCGTCCCAAGCAGCAGTCAGTACTCGGATCGTTTAGATCAGCCGAACACTGACAAGAAGACAGGTTGTACTGCTGTCTTTGGTGAGAAAGATCTCATGGCCTTCCTCCATCCAGCAAATCTCCACTTGGACGAAGGTATATGTTACCACGCAAGTCATGATATCAATGATGGAAACAGCCTTCAAGAGAGTTCAAATTCACAATGGAAGTCCAAACCCCTTAACCCCCAAACCCCTAAACCCTAAACCCTAAACCCTAAACCCCTAAACCCCAAACCCCAAACCCCAAACCACCCAATATATCCATAGGACGAAGCAGGATTTTCAAGCCCAGTCCCAATGCCGCGCCCAGATTTGGCCCGGAGGTTTGAGCCCCAAAAGCGTAGGTCCCGGTGCCCGACTACTTAAAGGATCATGGGACAGGGTTTAGGGTTTAGGGTTCAGGGTTTAGGGTTCCGGGCTTGGGGTTCACTTAAAGGATCATGGGACTTAGTAATTAGGGTTATACATAAGGTAACTAAAGTTATAGTTAATTATAACTCCAGTTAAGGTACTTATAGCCTTACTTACTAAGTCCCATAAGCCCGAACCCCCTGACTGCAATATCTCGGAGCCCAAAAGACAGGCCGGAGACCCAAGGGGCCAGATACTGGAGGGTTTAGGGTTTAGGGTTTAGGGTTTAGGGTTTAGGGTTTTTCCTGTATAGGTAATAAAGTCCAGCCCTAAACCCAAAACTCTCAACCACTAAACCCAAAACCCTAAACCCCTAAACCCCTAAAGCCCCTAAAGCCCTAAAGCCCTAAACCCCTAAACCCTAGATGCTAAAGCCCTACTCATATGGCGAACCGAAGAAAGTCGGAACATGGATCTAGCATGATCAGTGCTGGGGGTTCTCTGCTCTACCTTTAGGGCATGAGGATACTGATGTTCCAGCTTTCTCGATAATTTCCCTAAATCCTACACCTGAAACCCCAACAGCCTTAGCCTTACAGCCTAAAGCCTTTAACCTTAAAGCCTAAAACCTTTAACCTTAAAGCCCGAAACCCTGAAACCCTAAACCCTGGACCCTAAACCCTTAAACCCTATAGACCCTAAACCCCTAAAGCCCCAAATCCCTAAACCCTAAACCCTAAACCCTAAACCCTAAACCCTAAACCCTAAACCCTAACTGAACTTAGTGTACGTGTCCTGGGTGTTTGCCTTCGACTCCTCGCCCCGCCCAGCCCGAGCTGACGCCGGCGGCCCTGCAGTCGCCTCAGTCGACGGGGCTGAAAGGGTTTAGGGTTTAGGGTTTAGGGGTTTAGGGGTTTAGGGTTTAGGGTTTAGGGTTTAGGGCTTAGGGTTTAAGGTTTGGGGCTTGTAGGGTTTAGGGTTTAGGGCTTAGGGCTTGTAGGGTTTAAAGGGTTTAGGGTTTAGGGCTTGTAGGGTTTAAAGGGTTTAGGGTTTAGGGCTTGTAGGGTTTAAAGGGTTTAAAGGGTTTAGGGTTTAGGGCTTCTTAGGGCTTATTGGGTTTAGGGCTTATGGGGTTCAGGGTTTAGGGCTTATTGGGTTGAGGGTTGAGGGTTTCTAGGGGTTTAGGGTTTACAATTTAGGGCTTAGGGCTTCTGGGGTTTAGGGTTCAGAGTTTAGAAGCTCGGAGATTAGGCTCCAATAGAATACCGGCAAAGCACAAGAAAGCCGACCCCTTTTAGGGTAGCACACAGGTCGCTGCCCAAAATGCCCAGGGTCTGCAACAACAAGAACGAAGAACCGCTTGCAGCCCATGGCCACTGTTTTTGGGTAGTCTATCCCCAAGATCTCAAGAAACCCTTGCTGAAAAACGGAGCAGGCACCGCACATACGTAGCGAAGTCCTCCCAGCGATTGCTTCGCTTGTTCGCTGAGCCCAACCTCAGGTCAATGCTAAAATGAAGGGTTGTCACCTAGACCTACTGTCACCTGAAAAGGTCGCTCGCGACGTGCCTATTGTCTGATGCAGCATGAGTGTGAGTGTGATACGGATAGTAGTAGTGGACGTCGTAGTAGTTGTTGTTGCTGTTGTAGTCGTAGTCGTAGTAGTAGTCGAGGTCATGCTTGTAGTCGTAGTCGTCCTCGTCGGAGACATGATCGTATTCGTAGTCGGAGACGTCGTCGTCGCAGCCGTCGCAGTAGCAATAGCAGTAGCAGCAGCATCAGCAGTAGCAGTGGCAATGGCGGTTGCAGCGGCAGTGCCAGTACGTGCCAATGCCAGTGACAGTCGCCGTCGCACTCTCAGTAGCAGTGGTAGGAGGAGCAGCAGCAGGAGTAGTAGTAGTAGTAGTTGCAGCAGCAGCAGTAGCATGTAGCAGTAGCAGTA